TTGAGATATATAATGTGGAAGGACGTCAAAACCCAATGTATTATTGGATAATCAAGTGCAAGCAAGGATCCAGCGCCCTCTCCTTTATGTGCATCTTTACTTTGTCAGGAATATATCACAAAAGCCCACCCATCCACCATAAAAGCCCCAACAATGAACCCAACAACCACAACGTATGTAGGAAGAAATCTCAGTGGGGGTAAGGATGCACACCTTGATGAATTCTGAAGGTTGTCCTCAGGTCATAACCTGTACGTACACCATAACTAGGACCAAAAAGACAATTGACAAATTTCAAGCCATGATAATGTAGATTATGAAAAACCATAGAACCCAAATCAATGTAGATTATGAAAAATCATAGAACCTAAATCAATCAAATGGTAGAGCAACAGAATCTATTAGTATGGCAAACAAGGAATTGGTACTTCTAGACATTTTTCAAATAGGTTCAGAATAATTAACATGAGAATATAGATATCACAAGGTTTATGGCTCCAGAACTAAACCGCCATGAGCAATACTAGGGGAACTGTGGCCCAAATAGCGGGCCTACCATAAGTCCTGTTTGATTGTTGAAACAAATGCGTGTCAAGATGGATTGGTCCCTAATTAAGTAGTGTAAGCTGGGAGTAGAAATTTTGGTTTCAATCATCCATCTCAACAGCTTTCATAATATAAAGGCTTCCATTTCAAAGTGATTACTTCGATTTTCAAGATGCACATGTGAAACCAAAATCTGATGATATGCCATATTGGGAAATCAAAACGAGATGAATGCTCTCTAATTAACTGTGCATTAGCTCTGAGAAAAAAGTTGTCTTCTACCTATATAGTTAATTGTAAATCAAACTTAAGCTGACGTCAACTATTTCAATATTCTTTCATCATTTTCCTGAAATGTCATACAAATAAACCTTCAAAACTTCAAACTCACCACATAGTCTTCATAATCTCCCTCTTCCATTCAATTCATTTTCTGCCAAAACTAGAATATTGCTTGTGTGTGGATTGACTAATAGGTTGTTAGATTGTCACTTGTGGAAATTGAAGGAAATGAGGGGCAAGGTCAAATTCTACTAGAATATTTTAGCAACCTTCCACAGGTCCTCCCTTGACAAACGATCAACTCACTCAAATTTCATCACAAAACAGCTCCAAATTCATTACAAGAACATGTTTCAACCTACTTAAAACCAAAAAAAAAAAACTTCAAAGAATGCATTAGATCCCATTGGAATTCGAAAGTATAGTTGCTCACGCCCATGCTCCCTTGCCCAATGACTATCCGGATGTATCCCGAGTCAGTTTTATTACTTTGACAACCATACCGTGACAAGTAATGAAGTTATTTCTTTATGGAAGGTCCGGGAAAAGCCTTGCCATAATGGAAGATTTTAGGGATGCAATAGGTTAGAAGTAAATAAGCCGCCTACTCAAGGATTATGGTTCTTCTGCTGCTGAGGCATGGGCAAAAAGGTTTGAGGTTGATGGTCTAGAGACTTTGTTTGAAAGAGGTTTTCCTGTTTTCCTCAGTTCCATCAACTGGGATTGAGGGGCATTGATTAATTTACCAACCATGAAATCCTTGACTTACCAATCAGTTCCAGAATCCAATGTGAAATGCAATTTGAGGGATCCTCATACTATTAACATTTTTTCTGTCTTCTTTATAATTTTTAATAACGGTGAAGTTTGTATGACGCGCCCTCCGTATAATGTAGAAATAAGACGCACGTCTAAAATTTGCTTGAAGATGTAGTTTTGGTGTCGGAAACCTTATGATGGATTGACAATCTATTTTTATCATTAGTTATGAAATTTAAAATTTAAAAATAGTACAGGTCAAGTAGATTTATAAAAACTTGAAAATCTTGAAAACAAAAGGTCCATATAAATTGTTACAAGATGCACTATTTTGAGAACTGGAAGTTCTTTTTTTCTTCATATCTACACATCTCGAGGTCAAGATGATCAATTAGAGGGTTCTCCAATGTCGGAACACTCTCTTCTAGATGATCTTTGAGGTACACCTTATTTCAATAGTATAAGGTTGCAACCTTAATAAACTTTTTCCTTTCAATAGCAGTCTATTTTTGCTGAACAAAAACAACAAATACCACCAACAACAGTCATCTAGTCTTCTTACATAAAGAGAGTTACACACAAAATGTCAAGCAGAAAACCCAAGAATTCCCTGACATGTACATGTAATTTCAGATACTGTATCTTGTATATATGCATCCGCATCTATTTCCACGAACTTTGGTTTCAATCTTGGGTAGAATCAGTACTTACTCAATCTAGATCTTAATTCTCATATGGCTTTAGTTACTAGGAGCACGGAGACTCACTCTTGTATGACCCTTGATTCTTGATTGGTGGTGCCTCCTCATGGCAGCTCTCATGAAGTACCTTAAAATTTCCATGCCAATTTGTTGCTCATAGATTCCTAAAACTTAACAAACAATGTTTTTTGAAACTGTTGACATTGTATTAAGAGAGAGAGTACACTATACAAAAACACACACACAGGTGTTGTGCTGACTACAAAAAGGAAGAAGAAAAAGAGTTACAAGTTACAACCACTACTATTACAATACATTAAGAAAGGAACTAGGCAAAAAAGAAAATCCCACTTGAGATGGTTAAGGCGTAGGCAGTGAGGCTCCTTGTTTGGCTAGGGTGTCGGCCTCTTGATTGGCCTCCCTCCAGATATAAGTCCATGAAACTTGAGTGTACCTGCAAATGTTGAAAATCTCATAAAAAATGGACCAAAGTCTCCAGGGAGGGGGTGCCTCTTGGGAGGCCCAAGAGAGAACATTTTTTGAATCCCCTTCCACAAGGATGGAGCTCCAATCGGAGTTGAAGTTTTTCAGCCTTCCAATAGGGCACAGGCTTCTGCCATAGTGGCATCTGCTATGCCAATTTGGGAGGAGAAGAGAGGAGGGATATGCCCAAATTGTTTATGTAGATACCCTCAATACCTGCCGGACCCGGGTTGCCAAGGGACCAACCGTCAAAATTTAATTTGGGCTGGCCTGGTTCTGGAGGTCTCCAGAGGGAGGAGTGAGTAGCCTGTCTCAGGCGGTGGTATAGGATAGTGTGACAATTGAGGATGAAGTCAGATGCAGCGAAGGAATTGAAAAGTTTGCCGTTTGTTGCCCAAAATATGACCGACAACTTGATAGATTCCAGCACTTGGAGAGGGTGTCGGTACTGCCCCCTGAAGATCCTATTATTTTGCTCTTTCCAAATTCACCACAGGGTGGCCGCTATTGAAGCCTTCGACAACAAAGCACTGGATTTGGGCCACGGGAGGAAAGATGCTAGCTGGACTTGGTAGGGAACCGTAGGTGGAGTCACCCACGAGCATCCAAAGAATGTTCAGCTAATGTTAAATCTACCCCTGAAACAGATGAAAGATCACCCTACAAAAAAAACACACAATAATCATGAGAAAACCATGAAAACTGTCATGGTGTAAGGTACAAAACGGTTTCCTCTTTTCTTAGTGGAAAAGAACTGTCCACCCTCCAGGGACAGGCAACTCAAAGTGGACTCGATCCCCACGCTTGAATCTCCAAAGTCTTGCGTCAATTTTCCTGTTATGCAGATGCAAAGCAGCATAAAACTTCACTCCACATTAATCGATTGACTTGCAAATTTCAAGTGAATATTATCACTCAAACACACTAAAGGAAATCCCTTGCCAACAAAATCTAGTGACTTGCAAATTTCAAGTGAATATTATCACTCAAACACACTAAAGGACATCCCTTGCCAACAAAATCAAAAGAACTAAAGAAAAATGGAAACAATCCTCAAAATGCTAAAACAATTTAATGTTTTCATAAGGCAAGCAACTAGAATAAATTACCTGGAACACAAAAGAGGGAAGAAACTAGAAGCAAACAGCCACTGAAGCGAAGCAGGGAAATATTGCATTTGCAAAAGAACACAAATACTTTTCGCTAAGTGAATGGACCATCAAAGGTGATTTTTTTCTGAATGTTTAAAAGGAAAAAGAAAAAAGAGTTGCCCGACACAACACGATATGCATAAATCTACATTTATAAAAGCATCATGAGTTGACATTTCATGAAATTTGAACTTGGAATGGCTTTTAGTCAACTTCATGGCTAGTTCAGCTAAATTCTCTAACATGTTTTAGAGATGTTCATTAATATATCAACTTTGCTTCTCCTCATTACTCTTTTCTAGATATGTATTGAGTGTCTGAATCTGTGAAATGTTCCCACTTCCCCTTTCATTATTTAGCCCCACCTGATATCTTATTTTTTGGATTGCCAACGAATTTGTATAGTGCAAAAGTAAACACACAATTTCAAGATGTGTTCAATAGGCTTATCCTTTTGCTCATTACATCCCTAGCCTACCTTTAGAAGTACTAAAAGTATCCCAATCATCTAAAAATTGAACAAAACTCTCCACAAACCTTTGGCAGAGTTACTATTGAATATGACTCTCTCTTAAATGAAACAATTTATTTGTTGCTGTTTCTTAGATACAAAGAACCACATGACTAACGTACACTTCGAATTTTCTTCTTGTTTTCCCAGATATAAAGAACCACATAACTTATACTCCTAAAAATACGAACCTTAACATTGAACTTTCTTCACTATTTAGTTCTTTTGGTTTTTTCTTATTTTTCTGCTTTGCAATCTCTCATGCCTCCTAGGATGTTTGAGATGTTATCTCCCATAATTTGCTAATTTTCAGTTGGGAAGTACATTAATCCATTGAACAGTGACACAAAAAGTGGGACCCACCAGAATGAATTACTACCAGGATGACTCTCACACGAGTCACATCATCACTTCTCATTATTTTCTGGAAAGTTATCACTCCAATGGGCTATAGGTTTTCCTGGTCAATTGGATTAGAATACACTTTCCCATTTTTAATTGCTCCCAATTTTTTTATGGCAGCAATTTTCATCACTTAGGCACAAAAATATAGCTACAAGAAATATCTGCAACAAAGAAAATATGAAATCTTATTGGAAATAGAAATGTATGTACAAATTGAACTCTGATTTGCCACTCTGTAAGGCTACAAAGGATGCACAGGACAGATTTCATAGCCAGCCATGAGCTATACATGGGAAATCAAAACTTGGCATCAAGATCAGATAAACATTGTAAAGGGAGCAAGCCTTACAACCACCACATCGTACATGCTCCATGCAAACTCTGGGGAGAGAAGTATATAAAAGAATTAGTGGCTTACAAGCCCCAGCTGCCAATTGGTAAACTTGGAGAAGAAACCACTACACCAACTATATTTTCTTTTACTCCATAATGCACAAAAATATACAGAGGTACAACCAGATCGCCTTCAAACCATCATATGCAACTCTGAAAGGTCATCCATTGGGATCTCAAGCCCCATATAATCATGATCTTGCAAGCCTTCATCATCAACGTTCAACCAAGAACCGATATCTTGACTCTGTGCATCAAGGCCATCAGTAACAGCTAAATCATCTATTCCAGGCAGGGGCAATTGTGAAAAATCAAGAGGTCCATCAGTATCATTCAGTGAATCCTGGCCTGTGCTACCAAAATCTCGTTCATTTTTTATCTTGGTGCTTTGATTTGGTGGGACAATAGCCTTGGGCATCCCAGAAGCAGGACCAAGCAGACCATTCACAGAAGCAGACAATTGAGCTGTCTTTTGCTTTGGCTTTGGTTTGTTCTTCCTATCACCCTTGGTGTTGGATAAAGCTGGCCTGCCACATTTAGCTGTACCATTTCTACTTGAAATCTCTTTGTTGTGCCCCTTTCCCTCTCTATCTCTTTCACTCCTCTTTCCTTTTGCCCCCCCAGAGAGCGCACCACCGAAAGCTGAAGATGCTCTAGAAACAGTACTACCAACAACTTCATCGAGTAATACCTCCCTCCTCTTCACTTTACTTGACCATGTCTCTTCTTTCACAAAACTTGGTTCTGTTGAGTTATTGGCAGCTTGAAAAGCATTGGTGCTATCTCTGTCAATGTTGTTTATGTTCTGCCCCTTCCGCAAAACCAAACAAGGAATAGGATCTGAAGCCAATGAGGCTGCACCTGAAAAAGTAGCATTTAAACAAACTGGGAAAGTTGCCATTTGTTAGAAAAGAAAAAGCCATATTAAGGACTTCAGAGCAAACAGAATGAGCTCTAGGCAGATGAATAGTGGCAGGTGCCATGACATAACATCTAGACTCTAGTGCTCCACTCTCATCAGGTCCCAAGTAAACATCCAAAAAAGAAAAAAAAAAAGTACCAGAACATAAAAAACTCAAAAGAAATAACGGTCATTTTAGCTATAAAGAAATGGTCATCATCAAAAGGAGTTCGACAGATCAACCACATTGCGGATTACAAACCATAAGAAAACGAGGCACAATGAAAGAAGCGACACTGGAAACTAAAGTATAATCCAATGGACTATGGGAAACCATAAAGATCATTGGGGTCATCAACATCAATGGAGGCATAGAAGTATGACAGTTTCCGCTCTCTCACTCTCACTATCCATCATTTCATTGGGTGAGGTGATGGCCTAAAGAGACTGCAGTTTTTCCATAGTCCCTGGATCACTACAGACTCTCCCATACTAAAAGCATAGAGCACACAAATAATACAATACCACAGGAAATACAAAGAGGAATTATTCGTAATACCTGAAGTGTTAGATTCCAAAGGGCAGATGGCAGAATCAGCATAAACATGCCCAGCCTCCTCTATAGTGTCATCAATGTAGTCTGTCTCCACGCCTTGTAAAGGCACAGAACAGAGAATGTCCCTATATGCAGGCTCATCAAAGCAGCTCTGACCTGTCTCTTCAAATTTCCTACACCTAGCTAATGTTTTCTTGACAAAAGCTTGGACAGATTGCTTGGCAATCTTGTTGCTGGCACTTTTGGTACTAGAAGGATTTGGACCCCAGAATCCCTGTCAAAAAATTTATGATGTTTGAAATCTAACATATTACATAACCACAAAAGCAGCAGATTATTTACTTATTATTGTCGTATCACTAATATAAGAATGCATGAAGTTTTACATACTTCACAAAAAGAAAAGACATTTTATGGTCATATACATTTTGACCATATTTTAAAGATAATATTCATAGGGGAAGTATTCAGTATGGCTGCAGCTCTATAGAACCGCACCTCAAATCTTGCCAGAAAATGTAGTTCTCACAAAGAAAAAACAAATCAATAATCTCAAAAAAAGTGAATTCCAAGCCCTAAAAATGGTCCATCTTGCAACATACTTTCTAGACTGTCCATTTCAAGTCTCCATAGATCTACCAGATCTGCACTATTTGGATCTTCAAAATCCACAATTAGGGGTGGAAATAGATTTGCAGAGCGTAGGAACGGTTTCCGGCATTGGAACATTGGATTCTCTTTTAGGGTTCAAGATGCATCTTTACCAAATTTCACAAGAGAAAATATCAATTAAAGGGTCATACAACCAAACAATAACAATTGAAGGTTCCAAATCATACTATTTAACATTAAGAGTGTTGCTTTTTAAGGTTCATTTCACTCAGTTACCTCTCTAAAAAATATAGTAAAAAATTACCAAATTGCCCCTATTAAGGGGCATTTTAGTAATTTAGCCCCCCTTGAGTGGCCTTAGCAAATGAAAACATGTTCAGGTAGAATAATGTGGAACAAAGGTTTACAATGAAAAAAGTGAGTTCCGTGTTGCCAACCCTGAAAAAACAGGGGTGTTTTTGTTATTTAGAAGTTCCATGTTGCTAACTCTAACAACCATGGGTATTTTCGTAATTTGAAATGGGCCACTTAATGGGTTAAATTATGAAAAAGTTCATGCTAGTTCAAGGCTCCCAATCCTCACAAGGGCAATATGGTCATTTCTCTCTACTTTTTTAAGAGGTACCAGAGCGAAATGAAAACTTAAAAGGCAACACTCGTAATGATAAATAGGATGATTTGACACCCTTAATGATCTCGTAAGGTAATTTATATTTACCCATTTTATAAAGTAATGGCCATACAAAAACCCCACCCATACTAATAATCAGAACACAAAAAGAATTCTTTTATGCCTGCAACCTCAAACAAGAACTAAGCAACTAGTCACCAAAATCTGATGCCAGTTAGAAATGCCAAGGAAGCACAAAAGAGTGACATTTACATATGAGAGGAACCAGAATAACTGAATAAAAAACTATGAATGCATTGGTCAACAACCGTCTTAAAGCTGGACACGAGGAATATATAGATAGGAAAAGAAGCAAGGGTACAACCACAAATCACACGGGCAAAAATCAGGAGGATGAAAGTTGCCATGCAACATTAATGTTGAGTGCAGTAGATATGGATACTTTCAGCTTACGAAGGTCTGTTTTCGGGTAGTCAGGAGTAAAAGTATAGCATGATACTAGAGGCATACTGTTCACATCAGCCATCCATTTTTGACAATGGACGGCCAATTTTACTCGTAATATACTGAACAGAATGGAACAGGAATGATATTAAAGCCCTTATGCAACTCTATGGATGATGAGGTTTGGAAAGTGGGAATAATTATTTAAGAAAGTGTTTAATAAAAACTATTGGGGAGAATGGAGTAGTTTGGGATGCAGGCACAGGCTTGGCCTTGATGGTGTTGACACCCATAATGCTATGTCCTAGGCTCAAATCCTACAACTGACCTACCCAAAGAAACAAAGGGATGGGAATGAATCCAATGAAAAAAGGGGGCAAAAGGAAGAGGACGTCATAGAGAATGAATGGGCTCTCAGGACAAATTTGAGTGAGAGCATTTCCCCCAAATTGCAATATTATGTTTTGCATGCTTGTTCCATCATTCCTTGGAAATAATACTTCATTATAAAAAAGAAAAGGAAGATTGAGGTCAAAGCAAGGAAAAATAATAGCAAGGTATAAGAGCCTTAGACAGTTAAAAAAAGTTAAAATTCTTTTAACTCACAAGATGCACTCATATATGCTGTTAGATGACTTCATAAATTGATGCAGTGTATAGCTCAATGCAAATTAAGTTTTTCTTAACTATTGATAATGCATGTAATATTAGTTTCCTGATATCCTTTTTTTGAGAAGTGACTTACAATCTGTTACAATACATTAAGTCAACTGTTTTTCCTGTTTCCTTTTTCTTTATTTTAAAGGAAATTTACAGAAAATCCCATTTTACTTTTGTAATTTAAAAAGATTCCCCTATATGTCATATTTTACCCCCAAGTCCCACTTTTTGAGAGCATAGAATGTATTTTAAATTTATTTTTTTTGTACATCAGATTAAGCTCAAATTTGGGAGGACTATACTTCTCACCATCACGCACCTGTAAAAATATATAAAAAACAATAATTCAATAATAAAAATGACCAAAATGCCACTACAAGTCCACGGGCATTTTGGTATCTTATTTCTTTCAAAATTATATTTTTGTATTTTTAACTGATGTGTGATGACAGAAGTATGCACACCCCAAATATGAGCTTAATCTAATGTATAGAAAAAATAAAATAAAACTGAAATACACTATACGCTCTCCAAAAAGACTTGAGCACAATCTACGAAATATAGGCGACTATTTTAAATTTAAAAAATAGATGGGATTTTCATGAAAATTTCCTTCTTTTTTTTTTGAAAATATATTTTTTTGAAAATTTCCCTTACTTTAATATATGTTATACCAGTTATCATAAAACCCTGAACATGCAGTACATGACACCATAATACAAACACTGATAAAAGAGGATCTCCAGCTATTAGAAATTACCATATACTTCTCATATGCAAGTCCAACAAGTTTGTTTAATGCAAGATGCTGGCGTTCCCTACAGAAGCCAACAAAAGTGACAAATGTTGCAATCAAATATGGAACATCAATATGGTTTTGAAACAATGAAATGAAAGGAAGGAGAATAAGACAAAGTGGTTCTCACCTTTTTTCAGGTTCTATCTTCTCGGTGACTGCTTTTTCCAATTTCACAAGCTCTTTTTTATTCTTCAAAAGCTATACAAGCAGTAACATGTCAATAAAGAGTTAGAAAAATTATTAGAATCAGTCTAAAGGAGAGTATCCTTAGCAAGATAAGTGCAACTAAACAATCAAATTATTGGTAACTAAAAAAAAAGTGCATTTAAGACAATAAGAAGCGTCAAAAGGTAAGGGATCATATGGATCCTGATATCTGCGCAGTTCATGTGATCATTTCATTTCAAATTAGCATTCAGCAGGTTAGCACTTCCCTAATCATATATATATATATATATGGAAAATGATGGCGTAGGCCTACTAACCTACAACTACATATGAGCCCAACGACCCAGATTGAATCTGAGCCAATCCAATGATCACGATTGCATTTCATATATGAATTTTAATTTTTTTTCTATAAATCCAAATCACTTGAAATTTTTGAAGTGTATTCTTTAAAATAGAAGAATCCAATAAACATATCAAAAAAATATTTCATATAAAATAAATTGACGAAAATAACCCCAAAACTTTTTAGGGGTATTTTGGTCAATTTATATTTTGTGAATTATTTTTTTAATATTTTTATTAAGTGCACCTTGCTGAGCAAAATAGACGCCTAAAATTTTATGGAAATCGGATTTGTAGAAAAAATTAAAATTAAAATACGAACTGCAGTTGTGACAGTCAGATCGGCCTAGATTGAATCTGGGCCGTTGGGCTCATATGTAGTTGTAAGCTAATGGGCTTACGCAATCATTTCCCTATATATATATATATATATATATAGTAGGAAGTAGTATACTAATGACAACCACCACCTACTAACGAAACCTAATTATTTTTATTTATTTAGTTATACGTAACCTTAACTTTAGTACACACACTACTTCTTCT